AATGAATGGACCCCCAGGAGTTCAGTTTGCAGCTCTATGTTGGATGCACGGTAGTCTTCAAAATCTGTTAGCTCTCCGCCCGTGAGTGACACTAGAGAGATTCCAGTACTTTTCTCTTTTTATACAATCTTTTCTCTTGAGTGAATATTGACTTAAAATAGGACGTGTGTTTACCAAGAAAGGCAACTAGAACTTTACCCTTTTTGAGTGCATTTTGAGACTGGCTCCCAACATCTAAAGAAATTTAAAGATACATTTTTGAAAGTAAATTTAGACCGAAAAGTAATGTAAAGATAATGTAACGATTTCCCCCTTTTCCTCCCACAGATGGTCCCTTAGTTGCCCCCACGGGGCTCAGCCCACTGGGAGTTTGGCAGATTATGCCCGTGTTTTAAAAATATTTATCCCTTGGCTCTTAGCGGGGTTTTAGGGAAGGCTTATTGTTTTCTTCTCTGATAGAGAACAGAATATTTTTAATGATACGGAAATATATTTTGGGTCTTTCTGATAAATATGTGAACCAATGTGTTCTCGTGAGAGCCCTCTTCAGAGTTTATTAGGTAGTTTGGAGCTGCATTGATTCTGCTTCTAAATCATCATCCCACTCGTAGCAAGGGGCTGACTCAGGCTAGTGATGGGTTGGATTTATCGATTTTGCTCCCAACGTGGGCTTTATTCATTTTGGAAGTGAGTGACGCAGAAGGATCTAAAAAGCATTTTTTAAAATGCATTTTTAGATTAAAGTGCCTAGTTTCAGATTAGTGAACAGAATAGGAAGAGTGAAAAAGGCTTACTTTTTAAAATTCTAAGTTTATGTATGTGCCACAATTATGTAAAGTGACTATAAGGTATAACTTTGAGAATCATCGTGCAATTTTGAATGTACTGTATAGATTAGCATATTACATATATGAAGTATTACTCTTAATTGTTTTAGAATATATAGCTCCTTGACATTTTCTCATTTTAATTTTTTTTATTCCACTTTGTTTTGTTTCATTTGAGACAGGGTCTCCCTAAGTTGTTCAGGATGGTCTCAAACTTGGTGATCCTCCTGCCTCAGCCTCCTAGTGCTGGGATTACAGGAATGCACCACCACATGCCCGGCCCTGACTTTCCTTATACAGTATAGTTAACAGTTGCCTGCTCAGTTCCTACTGTTGGAGGAGTGTGACTAAAAGAACCAAAATGAAACGTTCCATTATGAAATACTTTGTTTTATATTTGTTAGCTGTTTTGATCTTGTTGAACTGTCACTGACCTGACTGAAACACACTCTCACACACACACACACACACACACACACACAATCCCACCACCATGTAGGCAGGGTACTCACTGCTAAATACTAGTTTACTCATTTTAGGGATAAATGTTTTATGCTGTGGTTTTATAAACAAAGCTATGAGTAAACTTCATTTTTTTATTTCAGAAAAATAATGTTTGAAAAATCACTTGAAGAATTGCACTATTTAATAATGCTGTTACTACTACATAAGATACTTCTGGGGAATTTATTTCATCTGATAAGTGACTTTCTAGAAGGTGGATTTTTATTTTGTGGTTTTTCTTTTTTTCTTTTGTATTTCTTTTTCTCTTAGTTTCTTTATTTTTTTGGTCCCGGGGATCAAACTCAGGTCCTTGCACTTGTGAAGCAGGTGCCAGAACCACTGAGCTAAATCCCCAGCCCTCTTAGTTTCTTTTTGAGACAAGGTCTTGCTATATAGTCCAGGCTGCCTTTGAACTCCAGTCGATCCTCTTGCCATAGCCTTCCTAGGTGCTGAAATTACAGGCCTGCACCACCCCACCCAGCTTGTTTTTTCTTTTAAATCTCAACAAAATGTTTTTGTTTGTTTTTGCTTTTGCCCATCTTTAGGAGGTTAGTTGTCAAATTCAGCACCTCAGTTTGATTAATTTCTGGTCATGTCAGTAGCTGCATTAGCGAGATGCTGTCTTTGTGGCCTTTGATAAATAAAGAGGAAGAGTGACCAAATGGAATTTCTGGGCAATAATTTTAAGGAAAAAAAAATCTATGTATTGTAAGTAAAAAAAAAAAAAGACTCTTTTTTTTTTTTTTTTTTTT